AATTTCACGTCTGGAGCAGTTTGAAGAGGAGCATTCTAAAAACATGGCCATGCAAATTTTCTCCATGCTGTGCAACTGGAGGAACCGTGAAAAGAACAAGGCCACTGCTCACAACCTGTATAACATTCTCAACCAGGAAGCGGTAGAAATTGACTCGAGTGCCTATGCTTTTCTTTTAGAATAAAATGCAACAGAAAAAGATCAACCCTAAAGAAGATGAGCCTCACCAGCATTCAGAGTCTGTCGCACCACCTATGGTACTTAATATTGTCATTAAATACCAGAATTTATATTCAATGGGATGCCCTTGTAAGGATTTTTATAGCATCAGAAGAAACAGAACAAGTGCTGGTGCTTTCTTAACTCAGGTATACATTTTCCTGGAATTGTATGGCTACTGTATGAGCCCAGAAAAAGATAGTCCTTCTTTAAGGAAGTGACAAAGGTGCACAGTGTGTCATCCCACCTACTTAAAAGCCTATTCTTAGCTTTGGATCTAAAGTGTTGCAAAGAACTAGGAATAACAATAGGTTGGGGTAGGGGTTGTTGGTAACACTTTTCACATTGGACAGATTTTTAAGTTCTTTCTCAAGTTTTCTTTCCCTTGTTTCATCTCTGTTGCTGTAGCTCCTTTTCTAATGCACAAGCCTGCAATTGTTCAGTTCTCTTTATTTTTTTCCTCCCTTTTTATTTTTTTCATTCTGTGGTGAAGTTTTATTTGCTTTATATAAAATGACAAAGCAAATCTAATTCTCTGTCTTCTCCATTGCATCTGCGTCATGTGCTAGTCTTGTCTGGTTTTGGCTTCTTCACTTGGATCCTCTCCCATTTACAAAAAAAAAAAATCTTTTAAAAAGATAGGTAGACAGACAGACAGATACAAACAAACAAACAAACAAACAGATAGATGATAGATTAAATGATAGATAGGATAGACAGAAGATAGATTGATAGACGATAGATACAAACAAACAGATAGATAGATGATAGATTAAATGATAGATAGGATAGACAGAAGATAGATTGATAGACGATAGACACAAACAGATAGATGATAGGATAGACAGACAGACAGACAGACAGACAGATTAGATATATGGTCACAAGCCACAGTCATCCCCATCTTCAAAAAGGGAGACCCA